CTCACCATTGACAATTGTGCTGCAACTCTTGCTGCCACAGGAGCAGTAGGCTGGGGCTGGGGGTCCGGCTGACTCTGCTCCGTGGCCTTCTTTGCTGTTCCAGCAGCAGCAGCAGGTTGTTCCACCACCCTTTGTGCTGGTCCAGTAGAGGCAGTGGGCTGCTTAAGAATTCGCTTAACAATGAATGCTTAACAATTCAGAAAGTAAACCATTTCAGTAAATAATACTAACAAAAAATACTTGCTACATTAATGTTACCTTTGGAGTGTGAAAACCACAGATGCTTTTCAGCACACCTCCAAACAAGGTTGTCTGGTCATGAGACTGCATCAGACATTTCTCAATCTGTAAGCATTATAACAAATGTAATGCACAATACAAATGAGTCCCTTAACAAAGCACAACATAATTAATTAAATTCATATATTAATTAATTAATTGATTAATTTCTAGGACATGAGTCACTATTTATCTTATATGTAATGTTACAGCTGGTATCTCTCTTTAAATGAGAGAGAAACAAGAGAGGAACTTTTCAGACCTTCAAACCACCCATTCATTCAACATCCCTTCCCATATCTTCTCAAATCTCTGCCATGCCAAACCTAGGAGATGTTTCATCCAATACAAGTGAGTCCCTTAACAGAGCATACAATACTTCATTAAATTCATATATTAATTAATTCATTGATTAATTTCTAGGACACGAGTCACTATTTATCTTATATATAATGTAGCTGGTATCTCTCTTTAAATGAGAGAGAAACAAGAGAGGAACTTTTCAGACCTTCAAACCACCCATTCATTCAACATCCCTTCCCATATCTTCTCAAATCTCTGAATCTCCCAGTACACAAAAATCTTTAATGTAGCTTTTCATTAACAGTATGACATAAATCTCAAAATACCTGCAACATTACATAAATGTCTATAAACAATTATGGCACACTCTGGTTTACATTGGTATAAGCCATAACATAACACAACCATCACATTACATTGTTCTAATGAATGGGATCAGGTACATGTTTGTACTGAAGCCTAATGTGTTGTTCTGTTATGCAAATACATTAAACAAAGATACTAATAATGTTCGATTATGCAAGTCAACAAACACTTAAGTCTTTTTATATTTCTGTATCATGCAAAGGTAACAAACACTCACCCTTTGATAAATCTCGTACCACTTCTTCTGCCGAGGAGCTGGCCTGTTACCCTCAATTGATGGCCAAGTTCCTGTGCTGGCAAACTTTTTTAGATGCGAAATCCATTCAGTGTCCGACATCGCTTTATGTGATTTTTTTTGTTTGCCAGACATTTTTCTAGAGTTCGCTGAAACAGTTTTGAAAGAATAATTAAAAATGACACACTTATTAAAAAATAAAAAATAAAACGTGTTGAAGTTTGCAATTAGATTATCATTTCTTACCTGTTGTCTTCCGTAATACCGCTGTATTTGGTTTTTAAATGAAGTTTCAATGTCCTCCGTAAAATGATGCTGAGCTCCGCGGCAATGACGCTCGTCGTAGGTCATGAACTTCAATACTGAACTTTTTTGACATTTGAGGATTATGTCATTCTTTCATACACCTTCGGCGCGGTTCGGCAATTTGATTGACACCTGACTAGAAGCGCTGACCCCTCCAACTTGCGGTGATACGCGGAAACATGCCATCGACATCCCCCTGTACTCTGATTGGTCAAATGTCACGAATGTTAAGAAAATGTTAAGAATCACACTTTTTGATTGGCTGGAAATGTTATAGCGCTTCAACGCGATTGGCACAAATGTCATAGCGCTTCGATTGATCTTTAGACATTTTTTGAAAATGGTTAAAGACTCAGCTGCTCGAATTGAGATAGGCAAGTCATTCCACCAGCTTCTTTAGAATTTTTTTGAAAATGGTTAAAGACTCAGCTGCTCGAATTGAGAAAGGCAAGTCGTTCCACCTGCTGGGTACAGTCCAGGAAAAGGTCAGTGAGAGTGATTTTGTGCCTCTTTGGGATGGCACCACGAGGCGTCGTTCACTTGCAGAACGCAAGCTTCTTGAGGGCGCATAGGTCTGAACCAGCGAGTTTAGGTATATTGCTGAAGAGCCAGTAGTTATCTTGTAGGCAAACATCAGTACCTTGAATTTGATGCGAGCAGCTATTGGTAGCCAGTGCAAACTTATGAAGAGAGGTGTGACGTGGGCTTTTTTTGGCTCGTTGAAGACCACTCTCGCTGCTGCGTTCTGGATCAGTTGCAGAGGCTGGATAGTATGTGCCGGAAGACCCGCCCAGGGAGCATAACAATAGTTCAGTCTGGAGAGAACGAGAGCTTGGACAAGGAGTTGTGTGGCCTGCTCTGATTGGGAGGGTCTAATCTTCCTAACGTTGTATAAGGCAAATCTGCAGGATCGGGCCATTGCAGCAATTTGGCCTTTGAAACTTAACAAAGCATCAGGAGGACACGGCCACATGTTACATGAATATGAGAGGGATGCTATTACTGCATTCATTCAGCATTAGCCCAGCATGAATGCAGAATTTCGACAACAATGTATATCAAAGTATAGCATAGGACTGAATGCAATGTCGCGTGATGAGATTCAGGGAATTTACCTGGAACCTCACAGGTTTTCACAAAACGTCATGTTGCCTGCCCTCCAGAAGAGCTGTGGCTTTTTGCCCCTAGGAGATAGGGACAACCACAGGGAAGAGAACAGAGAACCCCGCTCTTTCGTCTAAGCGCTCTCAGGTATCAAAAAGCAACACGCTGCCCAGTGTGAGGCTTGAACTCATGACCTTCAGATTATGAGACTAACGCCCTGCCTTTTTTTTTTCAGAATATCCCAGCATGATTGCAGAATTTCGACGGCATTGTATATCAAAGTGTAGCATAGGACTGAATGCAATGTCGTGGAATTAAATTTTTGAAGTTTCTTCCTGCAGCCAAAGGACACGTCTGTCAGAAGTGGGATTCGAACCCATGCCTTCAGGGGCGACTGCAAATTGTGCATCACCTTAGACCGCTCTGCCATCCTGACACCTGTGGTCGTGGAGAGCTGACCCTTTGGAGCTACACCTAAAGGCAAGGACCTAGAAGCTAGTGATTCTCTGTTCAGCTGCATCAGCCCACAGGCATCGTTGGCGCAGTTAGGCAGTGCCTCAGTCTCATAGTTTGAAGGTTGTGAGTTTGAGCCTCACATGGGGCAGCGTGTTGCTACACAGGGCAGTGTGGTGGTTTTTGATACCTGAGAGCGCTTAGACCAGGGGTGTCAAACTAAATTCCTTTAGGGCCGGAGCCCTGCAGAGATTTGTTCCAACCCTGCTCAAACACACATAGCATGTCGTTTTCAAATGAGCCTGAAGGGCTTGATTATTTGGATCAGGTGTGTTTAATTAGGGTTGAATCTAAACTTTGCAGGGCTCCGGCCCTCCAGGAATTGAGTTCGACACCCATGGCTTAGATGAAAGAGCGAGGTTCTCTGTTCCCTTCTGTGTGGTTGTCCCTGTCTCCTGGGGGCAAAAGGCCACAGCTCCTCTGGAGGGAAGGTGACGTGACGTTTTGTGGAAAACTCTGAGGTTCCAGGTAAATTCCCTCAATCTCATCCCGCGACATTGCATTTAGTCATATGCCATCCTTTGATATACAATGTCGTCGAAATTCCACGTTCATGCTGGGCTAATGCTGAATTAATGCAGTAATAGCCTCCCTCTTATATTCGTGTAACATGTGGCAGTGTCTTCCTGAGGTTTTCTTAAGGTTAATGTCATGCTCGCATTCTAATGAAATTTCCTGTCAATGGAAAACGCAACATTTTGTCAACCTTAATGTGACATTGTGTTCATTTTAACGTAATGTTTACTTGGTTCTAATACAACTCCACATGTACTACCAAGTGAAGCCCCATTCAGAGAAAACTTTTGCAATCAAGGAGGCACTTTTTTGGACGGGACACGGCATTCTTCACGAGTTCATGATTGGACAGGATCACCTGAAGCTCCCATTCTGCTGCATTCCAAGTAATGCATCCCATCCCATTTGGGACAAAAATAAAAATTTTGATATATGCCTCAAATGTAGGATTGGGAATGGATTGACGTCGCATGTACAACTCAAGAGTGTTACTCTCAAGTTTAGCGTATGGAGGGAAGGTGACGTGACGTTTTGTGGAAAACGTCCATGAAAACGTATGTGAGGTTCCAGGTAAATTCCCTCAATCTCATC